ACTGACCGCCGGGCTTGGAAACCTGACGACCTCGGGGACCCTGGCGACACCTGCTCTGGAGGAGTGGCGGGGGCGGGGACAGAAGTCTAACAGACTCGCATTCAAGAGGACAGAGGACAGTGTGAGACAGCCCCGCCCAACAGAAACAGTGCAAGCCACAGGCGCGGCCACCTGTGCAGCTTAAATCCTCCAGAAGCCTCACTGGAAAGGTGAAAACGGAGCAGGTGGAATGAACCGTGATCACAGCTTTTATTTAATCCAACGTAACCAAAATATTACCGCTTCAGCTGTAGTACAGAATTTTTAGCGAGCTATTTGCCACTCCCTGCTTTGCACCAAGTCTTTGACACCCGCACCTACAGCACATCTCAATTCAGAGCCCAGCGGCCACCGTGGCTGCCGGGGAGGGTCCTGCAGAAACAAGCCCTCCCGAGGAATTTCGCTCAAAAGGCATTAGAAGAAACAGGCGGTTCCCGGAAGAGGGCGCGGAGCTGAGCTCTGCCTGCTGGACTTTAAATGCGACCGTCTGACAGAGACAGCGGGTGCGCAGAAGCGAGGGGACAGCTCCCGGAAGGGCCGGGCCCCCAGGGGGCAGGCGCCCAGGCGGCGGGACGGGTGATGGGTTCAGGGAGGAAGGCGCGTGGCCTGGGTACAGACGCAGTCATGGGCGCAGACGGAATGTCCTCTGCACCTGTTTTCTCAGTGAAACAGGTAGCGAGGCATCAGCTGAGCTGTGAAAGGGGAGGGGGTCCCGGAAGCCTGACGGGTCAGCAAAGGTCTGTAAGAGGCACGGAAGAGGCTGGGACGTGCAGTGGGGCTGCCGGCGTCACCCCGGCCGCTGGAGGAGGTGGTCACGAGGAGGTGGCTGCAGCCACCAGCCCCGTGAGTTCCTCCACCTCCTCCAGTGGCCCAGCTCAGGTACCAGACGGACGTCCAGCTGGGCGGCCCAGACAGGGCGGGTGCTTGTCCACGTGAGCAAGGAAACCAGCGGGGACGAGGGCAGCTGGGGGCAGAGGCAAGAGAGGTGAAAAGGGCGGCACGGCGTCCACGTGGGCTGGGGGAGCCGGACGAGGTGCAGGAGGAGCAGACTGCCGGCGGCCAGGGCAGAGGGGGCTGGAAAGACGGGTGGTGCCATCCAGAGGGTAGGAGGCCCGGCTGAGGCGGCGGGGTGTGGTGAACGGTCCTGGCGGGGTCCTGGCTGTGCCCCTGGGAGTGGGCAGCTGAGACAGGACGGAGTCAGCATCCCGGGGAAGGAGACACCGAGGACGCACGCGGCTGCGGGAGGCTGATGGCGGGACGTGCGGGGCGGAGGAGGAGTGACCCAGGGCTGCAACGGGGGAGCAGCGGGTGGAGTGTCTGAAGACACAGACGCCAGGACGGGAAGATCTGGGGGGAGGGACGCTGGTCTGACGCAGAATAAGAGGACCTGGGGCGCCTCCCCTGACTGTTTGGGGGAGAGAGAGAACCCCGTAAGGCCCGCGGGACCCTCGGGGACAGCCGGGGGAGAAGGCGGCACCAGGACGGCGCCGCGGGCTTAGGGCAGCCCCGGGCCACCTGCTCTGCGGCACGTCTGACGGGGATTTGGTGATACTGCTTACATCCCGAGGCTTCCTCCACGGACTTGAGAAGTTGGGACCAAGACTGCCTGATTCACAAGGCTGAGAACGGTGTGTGGCCTCTCACAGAAAAGGTCTACTGAGCCGGAACGGGGGTGGGCTGCGGGGAGTGGCGGGTGTGTGCAAGGCTTCAGGGGTGGAAGCGGGAGAGGGTGCAGGGACCGTGCGGGGCAGAGTCGGCATCCTCGACCGTCTGCGGGAACCAAGAAAATGATCAGAAAGGGCCCCGTGGAGCATCCGGGTCCACGTGCCGGAGGCGCTCCCCGCTCGCTTCTGGCCACGCGGCGGCAGCCGGGAGGGGCCCCTGGAAATCTGCTCCTGGGATGAGCCTAGTGCCACGTTGACCTGGGCCCCAGAGGCTGCGGGAACTTCGCAAGAGTGAAGGGCAGGTGGCCTCGGAGCAGCCGGGCCCCCGCCGGGAAGACACCCGCCCTCGGCAGACGACGTGGCACCGGAACCTGGGCGGCTGCACCTAGCAAAGCGCGTCTCACGCGGTGTGGCGAGCCAGGCCCGCTCGGCACAAACGCCTCCCAGAGAGCCCTCCCTGACACCCTGATGAGGAGGACATCACTTCCAAGGCTGCCTCAAGATTCCTCTGTGACCTTTTTCTTGAGCCCACGCCGACTTTACGCACCTCACGTTGCAGTGGAGAAGCATGTTTGGGGTAGTGTGTTTGGTCCCAGACCCCTGGCCCCTCCTTGCCCTGTTTTCCTGTCGCCCCCTGTCCTGAGCAGCCTGGTGTCTGGAGGCCACGGAACACAGGCCCTGCGGAGGTGGGGTGGGAGTCCAGGCTCCACTGTGCCAGCCCTCCAGGCTCACCTCCAGCCCAGCCAGCCCACTCGGCCACAGGGCCAGGGAGCTGCCCGAGGAGCTGTCGGGCCAGAGGAGGCTGGGGACCAATCAGTCCTAAGGCAGAGGCACCTCCTCGGCTCCCAGGCTCCACTAGAAGACCCCGATACATGTGTGCATGTGTGTGCACGTGTGCATATGTGTGCACGTGTGCCTGTGTGCATATGTATGTGTGTGTACCCATGCGTGCCTGTGTGTTGTGTGTGTGCCTGTGTGCACGTGTGCGTGTGTGGGCATGGGCGTGCAGGTGGGAGCGGCGGCAGGGTTGTTCTCAGGTAACAGTCCTTGTCCTTCTGGAGAATGTCTGGATTCAACGTGATTTTTAATAGATGCCCTCGTCTGGCCTGGAGCCCAGGGCTGCCATGACCAGGTCAGAGGAGACGCAGATCCGGACGGACGGGCAGGCATTGGCTGACGGTGGGGAGGGGAGGGGTCCTTACCCGACAACCACGATGATGAAGTCGAGGAGATTCCAGCCGTTGCGCAGGTAAGCGTTCGGGTGGAAGAGGAGTCCGTAGGCAATGACTTTTAACAGCGCCTCCACAGTGAAAACGATGAGGAAGAGGTACTCCACTCGCTCCTGGGAAGCAAAGGCAGAGAGGGCGGGAAACGGGCATGAGACCGGGGGTCTGGGAAGTCCCGAGCCGGCAGGTCTCTCGGTCGGTGGAGGAGAAGGCGGCCCCGCCGTGGTCGGAGCCGGGGGCCATGGGGGGGCCCCGGGGCCACATCCCAGACCCCACAGTCCCTTCCGCGCGAGAGCTCCCATCCACAGGGCTCTACGGGGGTTTTAGTCTTTAAGTGTCCTCTGTTAAAATGCAGGACTTCAGGTGGCAGAGAAGCTGCACACTTCTGAGAGCACCTTACTAATCAGCGAGTGTTTCTCTGCACCTTCTCAGGAGGGAGCACACGACACCTGAGCCACCTGAGAACGGCACGGGAGACGGTGCTGAGACGGGGCCAAGACGGAAAGGGCCACAGATTGAGTCACAAACCCCGAAGCCACAGCCGCTGAGAAGCAGAGAGCGGAAAATCTCTCAGAGCCACTGAGTCAGGGGCAGCTGCTCACAGGCACTGTCCCCGACGTGAGAGATGACGCTCTTTTTGAGAAAACAAAACTCTCTATCCAAAGACCGGGTCGGGTCAGCAGGGACCCCGCGTTTCCAGGATGGAGGCGGGCACCGGGCCGGGGGGGCCAGCCTCCTCCCCGCTCTGCCTCCGAGGAGGGGCTCTGCCGTGGGATGTCGCTGTGTCCCGGGCGCCCACACCTGGCAGGACAGACTCGCCAGCTCAGTCGGAGCAAACCTACTCGTGCTGAGTCACCGCTTCCTCCCACGAGCACTTCCTCCCACACTGTCCCCGTGCTGAGCCCCCAGCCCGCCTCTCACCGGGTTCTGGGAGAAACGGAGGCCAGCGAGGGGCACGCCCAGGACGGGAGCCAGACTTGCTGACCCGACGTCCAAGGCCCGTGCGCTTTGCTCCGTCTCCCCAGGTGCTGCAGACATTTCTCCCCGGCCCCACTTATCCCCTAAGACACAGCGGGTCAGACTCCCCCGGCCTCACGGTTTAAGGGTCTGAGATGGTGCCAAGAGGGTCCAGGGAGCCAGGGGGGAGGGTGTAGGCAAGAATCCAGGGAAGGGGCAGGTGCCTGTGGTCACAAAGTCTGGGACACAGTCCTCTACGCGGCAGGTGAGCGTGTGTGAGCGTGAGTGTGAGTGGGGCACCGCTCTTGCGAAACGCACTGTGTTGACCCTGGCAGGAGAGGCGTGGGGGCCCTTACAGAAGTAATTCCAACTCCCTCTTCAAAAGCAAGAAACAAACAAAAAAAGTAAACAAGTGAAGCGGCTTGGTCATCCTTTCTCAGCTCGCATGTTGCCATAGAAACCTTGAAGGATGGGGACCGGCATGTCTGCTGGAGGCTGCCCACTGATGCCCGGTGGTGCCCGGGTGCCCTGGCCCTGTGGATTCACAGTCCTCAAGGCCGCCTCGTGCCTGAGTCCTGGGGATGCGCCGGTGTTCAGCAGGGACCCGCCGTTTCTGTGATCTCGGGAACTGGGCGACTCTGGAAGCCAACCTGGGACAGACTGCTTCCCGGTCCTCCCTTCTGTGCTGAGGTTGGGAAGGGTGGACGGGGCGTGAGAGACGCAGAGGAGAGGACAAGGCTCGGACGTCGGCCTGGATGTGCCCAGATGCAGATGCTCACGCCTGCGGGTGGGGGCGGTGGACGCCAGGGCTCCTGGAGGACCCTGCCCCCCACTCCAGACCTGGGGCTGGGGCGAGGGCCCGCCCTCCGACAGCTCCTGCCTCGTCCCACCACTTCCCCTTCCTCCTGATGCTTCTGCCCCACGCTTCCTTCCTGGTCACCCCCTCCCTTCCCTCTCCCTGCTCATCTCTTGGGGCCACCACTGGCACCTGGGCCACAGTCACCCCCACGTCTGAAACGTCAGGAGATTCAGCAGGGACAGCCCCCGTTCCCGGGACCAGGGCGTCTCCCAGCACTAGTGGGCGGCCTCGCCCCGGGGGCGCAGGCTGCCTCCCCCACTTCCCCTTTCACGCCCCCTGCCCTGCCTTCCAGCCGCACTGGGAGCGTCTACGCGTCAGACTCCATGATTTCTGATGGTAATGATCCTGATTCTGACACCAAGCAGCTCCATGTCTTTGGAAAAGTCACTTTATATCTTGTCAGAACAAAGAAACAGTAACAATCAGGGAGACAGTTCTTCAAGGTCCCAGAAAAAAAAAAAAGAGCAGCCCGGCACGTGCAGGGCTCACCGGCGCAGCCCCGGCGCCTGGGACGGGAGCGCCGTCGTTGGGAGGACACGAGCGGGCACCCCGGGCAGAGGGCGCTTCGTCTTTATTTTTAACAAGGACGCTTTTTACTTCCGGTCAGTGTGCCCTTTATTTAATAATTAAAGCAGACGTACGTGTGTGTTTGACGGGCCACAGACAAGCTGTTTCATTATTTAGCGTCAAATTCAGGTGAACGCGTGTGTAAGCCAGGACGACTTCCTACATCTCAACATGAACATTTCTTTTATCCCCTCCCTGGGTCTGTTTCTCATCTGTTGAGGAACTAGTTAAGCATTAAAGTAAATATGGTGCTACCCGCAGCTCCAGGTTTCCCCGGAGGAAACTGACCTGGAACCAGAGCGGGGCCATTTTAACCCTCACGCTAAGCTGAGCATTAAAACCAAGCACGGTCTCGCCCAGCCCCAGCCGGGACAGCAGGCGCCCCTGCCCACAGGGACAAACGCCGCTCAGTCTCCGGTCTGCTCTGGGCCAGGCAGGAGGCGCTGACCTCAGATGACCGTCTCAGGCGAGGTCTGCAGAGACCAGCCCAGACCCATCGGAGGTCAGCCCGCCTCGCTCTGTGTGGGGCTCCTGGGATGGCGCCGGGCACAGAGACAAATGCCAGGGGGCAGATGTGGTGGCAGGACAGCCCCATGAGAGGCCAGCAGGGAGGCAGAGGCAGCCCCACAGCACCCAGCGTCAGGAGCCCGGGCTGCAGACCTGGCGTTTCTCTCCCACTGTGTGCTCCTATGACCCTCAGAGGATGAAGACATTTCTGGGCAAGGCACTTTCCAGAATCTCTTCCCCTCCACGCCCTCCCCCAGGAGCTCTCGGGGATTCCCCCCTCCCAGCTCATCAGGCTCCGGCCCCCTGCCTGCATCTTCCCTTCCCGCCTCCGCACCGGTCTCCTCCCAGCATGCCCTCCCTGCCTGGCGCTTCCGTCCGGCCTGTGTGTTCTTACTTCCCGCGGGCCGGGGGCCTCCCCATCCCAGCGCGGGGCTGCGGTGCATCTCCGGGCCCTCCTGCCCTTCCTGGCAGCCGCCCAGGCAGCCGTCTGGCTGTTCACCTGGGACTTTCATCCGCAGCCTCATGGCACGTTTTATAGGTTTGTTATATTTAGACTCAGCTTCTGACCCACTAACTTCACAGGCTGTGTCTCCAAGGCTCACTGATGGGCAAGACTCGAAATTCAACGAGTTTCTGAAAATAGCCACGCGGGTCCGCTCTCCCCGGCACCCTGGCCCCCAGCCCTGAGCCGTGTCCTGGGTCCCCCGGCGATTCCTTGGGCCTGACCTCATCTTCCCGCCCCCACAACAAACGCTTTCTAGAACACGAGCCCAAGAGAGGCACATCCAGCTGGAAGCGGGTAGAACTCCCCTCTGGCCAACGGCCCCTCGATTCCCAGGCCTCCGGGGCTTGACCGCGCCCCTGGAAGCGTTCCCTCCGCGTTCCCGCGACCTCCTCCGCCCCGCGCTGGCCTCGGCTAATCCCGGCTTCCTGTGCTTTCAGCCTTTGCCAAGTCTTCACAGTGGACAAAACAGCGGTGGTGGAGGGGCAGGATGACACAGAGAGCTGAGCGTTGCGCCAGCGGGGCCGTCCAGTCCAGGCTGGGAGCCGGCAATGATTCAGCTGTCAAGGTTAACGGCGGAGGCGAAGTCAAGGTCTGCCGTTCCCCTGGTGCCCCTCATCCATGTGCCCCCACCCACCACTCTATCCTCTCTTGGGTCCTCCGCCCGCTCACAGCTCACACCCCACTGCCCCTGCCGTCCCCTCGGCTGGGCCCCTTTCTTATAATCTAGATCATCTTACTTTCTAAGCGCAGAGATAACAAATCTCACTCAGAAATTTAAGAAAACCTGGGGTGAAATGAGGAACATGGAAGGCGGGGGTGTCCCTGCCCCCGGGGACCGTGGCCAGTCCTTGTCCTGCGCGTCCAGAGCTGTCTTCACGCTGCGCCCATTATCCTGGAGCCGCCTTTATTTTGCTGAACAGCAGGTTTCAGCCGTCTTACACGCTGCGTCCAGCACCACCTTCTGCAGCCCCGTGGGTTCCAGCCGCAGGACGGGCGGCCGGCGTTTGTTTCTGTCTGTGCACAGCCATCTCCCTCCTCGCCAGCGCTGTGCTGGCCTGGCCCTGGGGGCTGCTGGCGGCGGCTGCTCGGCCCCCTCCTGCCCTGCACACGCCTCCCCGCCCT